AAATCTTTAATTATATTTTTAAACATTTCACAAGACAATGTAAAAATAACGGAAACAATTTCCATATAAAATATAATCGGTAATAAAACAAATATAATAATAACAAATAAAATAATTCCTAACAAGCTATTCAAGCAATAATAATATCCTCGTTTTACTTCTCTATCATTTTCATCCTGCATTAATTGTTTATTAAATTGCTGTTGTTGGTCATTGAACGCATAAAATTGAGAAAAGTTATCGTTTCCGGTCTCTGCCATTTTTAGGGGTTAAAAATTATTTTATTTTTTTATAATCAAAATTAAAAATATTTTGTATTTCTTAAATCCTCATTAAATACTCTATTAAAACATATAAGTTTTTATCATTACTCTGTTTAAGTTGAAAATATGTTTTGTAGAAATTTAAAACATTTACAATCTTTATTTTATATAGAAATCATTTTTTCTGAAAATTATATGTTATTTTTTTAAAATCAACGAAAGATGTGATTGGTGACATAAAAAACATTTTATAAATATTGATGACGATAAGATTGAATTATACACCAATATAATGAGAGATATATATTTTGCGTATATAATTTAGTTTTCAAAACCTCTAATAATTTTGGAATTATCATTTAAAATTCTAAATACACAAAGATAATTCATAATATAGATTTTATAGACAACTTTAAACACAAATAAATTTGGTTTCATGTTTTTTACTGATTTTGGCAAACATTTTTTCAGCTTTTTATAAACTCATTTTATGGTGTTCTCTAATTATCAAATAACATTCTTTTTAGTCTAATAAAATAAGTATTTTTTAATGTTATTAATTAAATCAATATAAGTCTTTTTAAAAACCATTTTCTTAGATAGTTCTTTGTATTGATGTATTTTTTTAATATAATTAAATAATTTGTAAAGAAATTTCTATTTTTTATACAAAAGATTTATTGAAGATTATTTTAAATATAAACAACATACCGATCTTTATTATTTAAAAAAAGTAGTGAAAATTTTATCTCTAAATATTAAAAATGTATTTTGGTAAAAAATTATATAATTATACTTTTTGATAGATAAGATTCTTTAAAAAATATGGGTGATAAATAAAATGTTAGATTGTAATTCAACACTATTTAAAAAACTAACTAATATATGATAATATACCTTATTATTTGTAATATCTTTATAATAAACAAAGAATGAAATAGCTAAAAATAATTAGTTTTATAGTTACTAAAAATGATAAGAGTACAATAATTTTAATATAAAAGTAAAATTTAATCTAATAATTGTCAATAATAAAATTTATATATTAAGATGAATTAATTATTATATATAGTCAGTTTATAATCATTTTAAATGTTTCTTTTTAAAAAAACAAGTAGAATTGTTTAAATGATGAAAGTATATATTTGAATTATAACCGGATTAACATTCATAGTACAAAATTATAAAATCATTGATCAAAAACTATAAAATTGTTTGTTATTATTTAACGAAATCAAGTTGTTATTTGCAAAAAATAAGATAATTATATTTCATTTTATAAATATTTTAAAGATGACTGCGAAAACTAGTTTAATAAATAAAGTTATTATTACTTAATAAGATTGTTTCATTATTTAATTATATCTGATTTAATTTTGCTTTCAGGAAATTATAAACAGCTACTATTAAACTAAATTCCTAAAGATCAAAAATTATTTTATAAAATACAGATCAATGTATGTAACTTAATT